TACGTTTTGTTGTCGTGATAATTTTCATTAATTCATTATTATGAACTGTCATGATTACTAGTTGCTTTTTTTTCCTTGTTCTGTTTTTGCCCTTTTAATTTGTTCAATCTCATGGACATTGTCAAAAATTGTAGTAGAATTTTTTCTTTTGGTTTTTCAAAGCCTCTTTTATTAAGTGTGGTAACATCCGGAACGCTATTAGTTGTTGATATTTTAAACGCTAAGGTTATGCTGGGAAAAAAAAAGGTAGCCATGACATAACCTATTCCATTTTTTGAAGTTTTTTCTTTTGTTTATTTATTAAACTTTTGTGTTACCAGGATAGTTTTTGTTTGAACTAATGATTAGCCGGAAATTATTTGCCTCTGTTCGGTTAGTTACACAATAATTTCAAGAGAAAAATTGTAAGGCTGTTTAAGTGTAGTTTTACAAACGATGAACAGATAATTTTGCCATTTGACGTATCATTTTTTGTCAGCAATGTTTTCGCTTATTACTTGTCATTATTGTAACTTTTGTGCAATTTTTTGACTTCTCTAAGTTATATTTTACTGCTGCTCAAAATTGTTTAATAGCATATTTGGTGCACTTCAGTTATTGGGATACAGAGTTAAACAAGCGAGACGGATGGACTAATTTATAAGCAACCGATTGTGTAAAAGTTTTTACCACTTGCTTTCCGATTTTTGCAACTGATTTTTGTTTGTTATTGAGATTTTAAGACAAAACTTTCGAGATATTTTTTTTGCGGAATTTTTCTACTGCCGCAATTAAGATGGATTTTCGACAGGCATCTTTTTTCTTTTTATGTAAATTTTTTATTCATTCCATTTGTTCAAGAAATATTTATCGTAAGTATTTGGATGAACAAAATTTCTTGCGCATATGATAAAATTTACAGTTTATAGGTATAATAACGCTTGTTGAATAGATGAGCGTGTTGCGCTTAAATCCTCCCACTGTAGTGTTGGTTCGCAGGATCTTTAGGTATAGAGATTTACTGAAGACGCAGTTATGAAAACCCCATTAGTGGATGATACGGTGAATTTTGTGTGGTTTTTTTGAATATCTTTTTGTGTTTTATTGCTTACTTTTTTTTTTTTTCTTTCGTTGGTAATTATAGTTTTCTTCTACTTTTATTTCAGTTTTTTTGACGGCTTTATTGCAGCCGTAATTGAATTTTAAATGTAGTGAACTCAGTTTATTTTATTTTATTGCTTTCTCATCAAATAATGCATAATAGATGTCTAAAATTGTTTAATATCGGGAACCTAATGTGTTGTTCTATTACCATAGCTCATTTCATGGTTTTTACTTTTTTAGATAATATGTTATTTAATGGCGTTTTTTAATTAATGTTTTTGTTTAAGAGAAGTGACTCACCAGTCCCGAGTTCATTTGAAGGCGCCCGCCACGTTGATGATATCACAGGGGCAGAAGAGATTTTTGAAGATCGAGAGCTATGGTACGTTTCTATCTTTCACTTATTGTACAAAAGAAAAAGATAACCTCATTTAATCTAGGCTGCTTCAGTTCTTGGGTTTGATTTTGCTAGGTTTTACAGGAAATTTTTGTTTTTAAGTGATTGTTTTTAAAATAATTATTTTATTTGCAGCACTGAACACAATGAGTAGATTTGATTATATCATTTAATTTTGGGTGTGTGCTCTATGAAATTGTTAGTGAATCATTTTAAGGAGGAGGTATTACAAAGAAAGATTGAAAACTGTGTCGTATGCTGTAGTAATGTGCTTGAATCTTGGTGTGGAGCCACCAGATATGATGAGGCGACAGGTTCCATGCGGAAAACTGGAATGTTGGGTAGATCCTCAGGGTATGAGCCCTCAGAAGGCTGTACAGCAAATTATCAAAAACATTCAGGCTACTTACGAAAGATGGCAACCGAGAGCCAGGTAGAAAATTTTGTGAAGTTGTTGTTTGTTTAGCTGCAAGAAATAGGAAGGGGGTTGGAGACCAAAAAAAGGAAAAGTTTGGCAGTTTTTGAGCCGCGTAACTTTTGAAACTGTAAAGCATTATATTTTAGTCCTATTTCAGAATTATTATCTTGCAGACTTCAACAACGACAATGGGAAGAAGTTTCTTCCACTTTTTTCTTTGAGGAGTTAAACGTGTTGGAAATTTAGGAAGGTTGGAGTTGGAGTAGGAAGTGATGTTGTTTGACACATTTATATCTCAGAATTTTTTGTTTTTTTTTTTTTTTTTTTTTTTTTTTTTTT